TCCTCAAATTCTCTAAAAACTTTCTCTAAAAAGTTTTCCCTAAGCTCTATAGCTCAGTGATCTCTCCTTTCTTTGTATTTGTACTGTAATTACTGTCTCTACCATTCCCTTGAATTTACCATCTACTACCTCATTTTTCAAAGGAGAGTTATGTGTATGTGTGTGTCTTATTTCCTAAGCAGTTATGAAATTCCTAAAAAACGGCAGGGAACCGGTTTGGTCATAGACTTGCCTAGTGCATTACATGGTAAGTCCTAAAGACATTTTTGTGCTACAAGTTCTCTCTGGAGATGGGTTTTCCTTAGGTCTCCTCCAATGCTAATATAATGTTTGCATTATATTACAGGACCCGGATTATATTACTATTATATATTACTATATATAATAATATATAACTAATATAATATAAATATGTAAATATAAAATATGTAAAACAATATATATAATAATATATAATATATATTATATACACTGTAGCACCTACATTTTATTATAGCACTTACATTATCTTACAGCACCTAGAAGAATAAATATTGGGGTAGCTTGATACGGAGATTCTTTTTTATTTTTTATTTTATTTTATTTTTTTAAAAAGATTTTATTTATTTATTTGACAGAGAGAGAGACAGCGAGAGCGGGAACACAAGCAGGGGGAGTGGGAGAGGGAGAAGCAGGCTTCCCACTGAGCAGGGAGCCCGATGCAGGGCTCACTTCCAGGACCCTGGGATCATGACCTGAGCCGAAGGCAGACACTTAACGACTGAGCCACCCAGGCACCCCCGGAGATTCTTTTTTAAAACCTAAAGTCTTACTAATAAAAGTCCATCAAGTGGAGTGGTATGTAAAACTATCTTTCTGGGCTTTACTTGAATTAGCCCTTAATAATGGCTCTTTATGCATTCTTCAGTATGGTCCTGGAACCCCCGGGCCATCATAGGGGTGGCCTAGGAAGTCCTAAATGGCATGTACCAGTTACAAGGATGATGATGAAGAAAACGAAGAGCATGAGAATCATCGTCATTATCAACTTCAGAAACAACTAACATGTATGGTGCCTTAATGTTACAAGACATTCCACTCATATGATTTGCTGGTCACTAATTAGATAGAGCAAACTTTATGGTTATTGTTTCCATTCTATGGATGAAGTGACTGGGACTCAGAAAGGCTTTGTGGCTTTATGAAAGTTGCCCAACTTTTAAGCAGAAGTGCTAGCACCTACATCACCAGGCTCCTTGTCTTTTCCAGCCACCTGACTCAGACCACAATCAGAGTGCCTGGAGGTGATTGAGTCTGCATCTTGTGCATTGGTGAGTCCTAGGCCTTTCTTCAGCAGCCCAGGATTCTCACCAATAACACAAGCTGCAAGAATAGCAGTAGGACTTCCCCAGTTTGACCTACTTGCCACTGCTCCTGTCTCCTCGCCCTTTGATGCACCAGCATCACTTCCTGAATGACTTGCTATGGGGGATAAGTCAAAAACAACATGACACATGCTCCGCGTTGTGGCCGCCAAACTGCCATGAATCTTAGGAAGTTCTGTTTTCACAAATCGCCTACACACTTCCTGGGGCTTGAGGAGAGAACCCACATCCTCTTCACACATTTAACTTGAATCTACAGAGCAGAATGACAGTTAGGTGCCAGGGTCTGACTTTTAAAAAGCCCCACAAGACATGGACTATCTGGCACCAGGATCAGCTGTCTAATTGGCAGAAGCCAGTACAACATGAAAAAGGGGGGGGGTCCTTGTTCAAACAATAGTAAGACTTTCAAGGTGGCGCCGCTGCATTACAGCACACTCAGAGCCCTTCTGAGCTCAAGTCTCCATGCACCTGCACAGGTTGAGAGGGACTCAGGCTGGCACACACCAAATGCCCCTCTACCACACCCCGTCGGCCCAATGGAACAGTTCATCTGGAGAGAATTAATGCTCAAGAAGCTGGATTTTGGTAAACTAAGACTCTTGCCACTGAAGGCGGCCTTAGTCTCTCCTGTTCACCCAAGAGTTTGTTTCTTTTGCTCTTACCATTTGGCACTCATCAGATTGTGCTATTTTTTACTTACATACACATCTGTCTTATTCTCTAGGCTGTGAGCTCCTCAGCACTGCAACCACATCCTATTCTTCTCTGAGTCCCTAACAGCATTGGGCACAATGTTAGCACTTAACAAATGTCTGTAGATGAGGGTTCTTATTCTCCCCCTCCCCATGACCCTGTTACATCTTTTTCTGTACTTAACCCCCCCAACTAAGTCATCATGTCTCACCTGGGATGGTCCTCCTAAGGCAAAATCTTGGTTGGTCTGAAAAGAAAGAGGTTTGTATTAGCCATCTGTGGGCTCATTCAGGGGTTACTGGGCCGGAGGGCAAGGGTGGCCATTTTATAATTATATTGCCTTTCATTTTACAAACCAGGTATTAAATCAGTTTACCTTCATAAGGTGAAAGAGGAGAAGAGAGAAAAAGAATAAACCTCTCATTTCCCCCCACATTAGAATTTAAAAGCGTTCATCCTTCAGCTTTTACTAGAAAGTGTTTCTGGATTCCCCAGAACAGGTCAAATCCCCGTGCTATTCTTTCTCAAAGCACCATAATACTTATACGGTTGACTTTGAATAATGCAGGAGTTGATGGTGCGGACCCCTCATGCACTTGAAAATCCACGTATAATTTTTAGCTCCCCCAAAACTTTACTAATAGCCTACTGTTGACCAGAAGCCTTACAGATAACAAATAGTCAATTAACACATATTTTGTATGTTTTATCGTGTTACATACCTTATTCTTACAATAAAGTAAACTAGAGAAAAGAAAATATTATTAAGAAAATCATAAAGAAGAGAAAATACATTGGCAGTACTGTACCGTATTTATGGAAAAAATTCATTTATGTGGACCCACAGGGTTCAAATCTGTGTTGTTCAAGAGTCAACTATATATTTTGTGTCTGTGCATCTGTGGTTATCCAATCAACATGGATCTCTTCCTTTAACTGTTAAGTTCCTGAGAACAGGAACTTTATATCAATTTTTACTCACCACTCTATCCCCCCCAGGTCCTTACATCACACTTAAAAGAGTAGATGCTCAGCAAACGTTTGTATTAGAAATTTGATTAATAATTACCTGCCGTAGTGTCTGGGACAAAGCTGACCTTGAATAAATCCATGCATTCATTCATAAATGTATGAATGAATACATGAATTTTGCTTACTTCTGAAGTGTTCCAAGAGATTCTAGGCAACACATAAGTGAATTCCATTTATTAATTCATTCCACAAATATTTACTAAGCACCCAGTACATGTCATGTACTCGTCTAGAGGCTGGAGATAGAGTAGTGAACAAAAAAGACCTCCCCAAATCACCAACTTGGGAAATATTTACTCCAGAACTTCTAAAGCACTCTCTGCCTGTATCTTCTGGGATTAAAGGCATAAATGTAGCTTTCTTCTTGCAAAGACTATAGCAGCCAGGCACTTGTCCCAGCTCTTCCATCACTTGGCAATATGATCTTGGGAAAGAAAGACACTTAATTCTCAAAACTTCTGGAGGTGTATGGTCGTCATCCCTCAAATCCCTTAGACCTTTCAGTCTGTAAGTCTAGATAAATGTTTTTAATGAAATAGATCCCTTGAAATTCACTGGAAACTCTGTTTTTGAATGAAAATCCCTTAGAAAATTTAGCCATCATAACATATTATATGTAGAGTAGAATACCAAAAACAAAAACAAAAACAAAAAACCCCTCCAGAGGTTGGATGAGCTGCATCCAGGCAGCTCTTCAGGGAGGCTCAAGCCTGGGGAGACAGGAGACTTTATTTTTTCTTTAATTTTTTAATTGTTATGTTAATCACCATACATTACATCATTAGTTTTTGATGTAGTGTTCCATGATTCATTGTTTGTGCATAACACCCAGTGCTCCCGCAGAACGT